CCAAACCTCTCAAGGGATTTGTTTGTTTGTAGGGCTAGAGCTGTCTATTAGTTAGTACATTGGAAGATTTCAATTTGGTTTCAAATGTTTCTCTATTTCTTGCCTTTGATTTGCCAGCCAACACTGCTAATCTTTGAATTTTGAAGCAAAGGACAAAGGACAAATTGCTAATAAAAGTTATATTCAAATTTGATGTGAAAGTTACCATGCCCAAGCTAGTGGATGTTATTCCTTTTTTGTTTGTGGATAAAATGGAAGGGCAAAACTAAATTCTCGGTGACTTTTTAAGCAATGAGGGGGATTATTTTCATTCAATTGCCAAACAGTCTTCTCACAACTAATAACATCCCTTTAAAAAATCAACTTATTTAGTTTAGCTTTTTAGGAAAAAGTAGGGCCTATACATATTTATGTTAAAAATTTAGGACATTGAATATTTAATTGCTAGTTAAGGTCTCTTGGATTTCAAATTCAAAAAGCATAAGGAACTTTTTTTGGACACAAATAGTAAAAAATAACTTCAAATTCCTAATAAATTTTACATTAGCAAATTATTTTATCCACAACTTTCTTACTCTCTCTACCGTCTTACCCGTTTTTCTATTATCAACCATCGTCTTACCCGTTCATCGTCGGTCACTCTATCGTTAACAACCATCCATCGACATCACTTCACTATCGTTCAAAGATCTCCGGTCTAAATCTAACCCTAGACTTATTTGCTCTCTTTTTTCCCTCTCTATTGTGGTTCTTTGTTTCTCTCTCTAACACCAACATTTGTTCTTTGTCCATTTATATTTCTATATCGAGAAGAGAGATAAAAGAAGATATGATTTAATCCACATAATTATTATGTGGAACTAAAGTCTAGATTTGGCAATTATTTTTTTAACAATTTTTTTTACTTTCTTGCTCTTTTAAGATAAAGAAGTTAAAAAAAAGTTGATATATTTGGCAAATACTAAAAAAAATAGCCTTTTTATTGTTGGAAAAGTTTTGATTTCTAAAATAGAAGGCAGAAAAAGGTCCTGGAAAATTTTTAAAATATTTAACTGAAAACGAAAATATTTGAAAAATGTAACTTTTTTAGTAGTTGTCAAGCCGAGATGAATCCTATTGAAAAAGTTGTTTTTTATTTATTTTTAGGTAAATAAGTTGTTACCAAACAAATAACTTTTTTTTAAAAAAAAAATTTAACTAGTTAAAAAGTTATTAAAAAAATCATAACCAAATAGAGCATGAGAGTGTTAGACATCTTAAATGCACCGTTGGACATCCCATTCTTTTGAGCTCTCCATTTCTAAATTTGAATTTTAATCTTTTTCGCCCCAATTAATTATAACTTCACCTCCACTCATCCCAACTCTTTCACCACCTTGGATGCCACCTCCAAAACGATGAATGATGGCGGGACAACACTTGTGGATGATGGTTGACGATAAGAAAGCGGTAGCAGAGATTTTCGGTTCAGATCTAACACTAAACTTGCTCTCTTTTTTTCCTATCTTCTACGGTGCTTTGTTTCTCTCTCCAACACAAACATTTGTTCTTTGCCGATTTATAATTCTACTACGTTCAACCTTTACTGGTCCAAACAGTAAAAAAAGAGAGAAGAGAGATAAAAAAATAAAAAATAATAAAATAATTTAATCCACATAATCATGTATCACTTAAGTCCGGATTTGGCAATTATTTTATTATTATTATTATTATTTTTTTTTTTTTTGCTTTCTTGCTCTTTTAGGATAAAGAAGTTGTTAAAAAAAGTTATATACTAAAAAAAACTTGCGGTTCTGTTATTGGAAAAATTTACGTAATTTTTTTATTTTTAAGTTTTATTTAAGATTTTTCTAAACCAAAAGGTAGAAAGGTCTTGGGTTAGGTTTAGTGGAGTAGGTTTAACAAATGTAACGAAAAAATAGGTATAACGAGATCAAAATGTTGCTTAAACTTCTTGTGAATGTTGTATCTTAGGTAATAATACTTGTGTTTGTTAGAAAGAATTTTAGGATTGGTTTGGCATAAACTAAATAATACAAAAAGTCAAAAAGTTACTATTCTATTTAAGTCACATCATCTTATTTAAATTATATCACATCTCTAACACACCACATCAAACCCAATCCATATAAGTCAATAAGTTAAAAAGTGTACTTTTTTAAAATATCTCAAACCAACCAACATATTTTTTTAAAAGTTGACGCTCTCTATGCAATTTTCAATAAATGACTTCCAACTGTTATTAACATCAATTAATTAGTTTCAATTCTATATAAATTTTTTCAGGGAATTCTTTTTAAGGTCCTTAGTATTAAAATTTTATAGGATAAAAGATATGTAATATTTTCATAGTGGTTAAGGTCCTTCAACATTTTTTCAAAAAAAAAAAAAATTGATTTAGAGAAATTTTGATCTAGAAAAATTTCAAAATACGAAGAAATTTCAAACAAATTTCTCTAGTTTAAAATTTCTCTGATTTACTCAAATTTTCTAATTTTCTATGTGTTTTGAAATTTCTCTAAGTTGAAATTTCTCTAAGTTGAAATTTCTCTGGTTTGCTCACAAATATATTTGTGTTTTGACCAATTTTCTCTGATTTGTTCACAATTTTATCTGTGTTTTGACCAAACTAGAAAAAATTAAACAAAGATAAACTGGTCATAACTAGTCATGGTGATGATGATATATCCACACCAGATCGATCACCTAAATCAGCAAGAATAACAACCAATTTATGAATCCAGAAGATGAAATTTACAACAATCAATTTATAAATCATAACTCATGCAATTAAAGGCACTGGTATTATATACACTGACACATATTTTTGCACAACACATACAAACAAGCATGTATATAAATAAATAATATATATATATATATAAAATATAACTAGATATAAGAAATTAATATTAAACGTCTCTGGTTTTGTTTACATATACATAAATAATAATTCTAAAAGTTTCACTGTTTATATATATGAAAACAAAATAAATTATTTAGTGTGTTAAGTATTTAAATGATTTTCAATTTTTTTGACTATTTAAAATGTAGTCGGGTATCCACAGGGATGTAGTTGAAAAATTTCACTGGCAGAGGGGTTAGGCGCGGGGGTGGAGTTTATCCGCGGGGCAGGGACGGAGGCGAGAATGACAAATCAGCCCGTGGCCATTCCTAAATCCATCTTATATCTAAGTTGTACTGCAAATTTTTTTATCCATAATACAATTCCTTTTTCACTATTTTATTGATTTATAATTTAAGTTTCGTTTGAAAACTAAATATTTTAGCCAAAAAAATTACTATAAATTATTTCATCATTCTTTTTATTTTTTTACACATATTTTTATAAAAAATTAAAAAATTATTAAACTATCGTATTCTCAACGGACGTCACTCTAATAACAAAAATGCTTGGGAGCTTTAATTAGAGCCACCGCTAATGATGTGCCTTGATTTTTTTTTTTTTTTTTTTGAGCTTGCCACCTGTTTAGAGCTGCTTTTAAAGCAGCTAAATTAGAGGTCTCAATCGAGACTGCTCTAATAAAGAGTGTTGCTATTAGCACCTACTTTTTTTCTTTGGACCACCTATTTCTTTTATTTTTTTAATTCCAATTTTGTCCAAACATAAAGTTACATTTTTATCCTCTTCTCTAACATTCCAACCCTAATTTCCCAAACCCTAACCCTAATTTCTCAAACCCTAACTCACCAACCTTTTCACCACCATCTCCACCGACGACCACCATTGCCACTGCCGCCGATGACCTCTCATTCTATCTCCAGCGAGGTCTTTGAGCTGACGGAGCGTTCGTGCTCTGCGAACCAGAAAAGCTCTGAAGTGGGTTTGGATGGTAGAGGCAGTAACATCGCGGAGAGAATTAGAAACAAAATTAGTAGAGTATTGGCGGCGGAGAAGAGAGGACACAATGGGTTGGGTTTGCGTCTGGGTCTGTTGCTGGTGGGTCTGCATCTGCTTCTGCGTCTGCTGGTGGGTTTGCGTCTGGGTCTTCTTGGTATTTGCGTTGGTGGATCGGTGATGGTGGTTGGTGGAGTAAGGTTTCATGAGAAGGGTGGAGATAAGGAGAGTGGAATTGGGACTGCGGAGGAGGGTGGTGGTGGTGGTGGTAGTGGAGGAGGCGTACAACAGATGGAATAGTGACGGCAACTGGTGGTGGGTGGTGGCAATGGGAGGCCATTGGAGGGGGAATCTTGGAAGAACAGTGGGGGGTTTTTGAGAGAGGTTACGTTTTAGGGCTTTGATTTGAGTAATGGAGATGAATGGTAAAGTAAAGAAAAGAAAGAAGAAGAAGAATGTGGGTCACCGGAGTTAAGGTAGTAGTGCCGAAGGTGGTGGTTGGGAATGAGACTAGGGTTTAGGTTTAGATTTGAGGATAGGGATATAGTTGGTATTAGGGTGAGGGTTCAAAGGGAAAATGGTAAGGGCTCATTTTGTTGGGTGGGGGTATAAAGAATTAGGTAATCCAAAGTAAAGATGTAAGTACTAATAGCAGCACTCCTAATAAAATCACATAAAAAATTGCACCCACCATTTAATAAATAATTTCAATATTTGCCACTAATTTTTTTTTAATGTTTTTGAGGGCCTATGCATAAATAATAGACCTCGTCAAGGGGGCTTTTCCCATATTAAGCCTCTTTTGCATCTTATTTCCCAAACTAGGCCTAGTTTGGACGAATTTCCCAAACTAGGCTAAAGCGCTATTACAAATCGCGCTTTCACTGTTTAGAGCCCAAAATTTGATGAATAGTAAAAGCGCTATTGTAAAATGCCCTTTTAATTAATAAATCGTTGTTTCAAATCGCACTTTTAATATAAAATTTTTTTTCTAAAGAAAACACTATTTGAAATAGCGCTTTAAGATGCGAAAAAAACTTAATATGGAAAAAGCCCCTCGTCAAGAGCTCATCATCACAAACAACACCCCATCATCTAATCCAACAATATATATATACATATATACATAGCTTCACAAATCTCTCTCTCTCTCTCTCTCTCTCTCATATCCAAACCCTAAAAATATATGCATATCTCTCTACACACTTCACTTCATCTCTGCCGTACTTCCCCCTCTCTCTCTCTCCCCAAACCCTTCCGTTTCGCTTCTCTTCTTGATCTACTTATCTCGTGTTGTCTCCATCTTCCCTAGAAAATTGCCTTCCTCATTTTCCCGAGAAAACCCATCCCTTCATTTGTCGCAATCTGTCGAAAATCTCTTCATCTAATCTCAATTTGTTCTTAGATTGTGCTTTCGCTACTGCAATCCGTGTTTCATTTTTCATTTTCCCGAGAAAATCATCCTCGTGTCTCAATCTGATCCCCCTAATTATCATCGAATCTTTGTTTCTCTTCAACCCAAGTCAACTTATTCTCTCTTCGATCTTTCCAATCTCCTTCTAATTCGCGAAAATTGTTGTTTGCAGTTTTGTATATATTGATAGGCATATATATATATATATAACTGCTGTGCTTTCGTAACGAACTGGCTTTGAGATCGAGTTGAGAATGGTGGGAGGTGGAAATAGAAAGGATGAGTCGGTGGTTTTGAACAGTACCAACGTGTTTGCGGCTCTCGGAACCCTAAGGAAGAAGAAGAAGTCTGACAAAGAGCAAGGCTCGTCCAAGAGCAAAAGTTCTTCGAAGAAGAAGCAAGACAAGGAGTCTGAGACGCAGGTTTTTTGGGCTCCAACGCCGCTCACGGTGAAATCGTGGGCGGATGTTGACGATGAGGATGATGACGATTACTACGCCACCACCGCTCCGCCTCAAGCTGGTTGGGGTGGTGGTGCAGCGGATCCCGAACCTACTGCCAAGGAGAGCACGACACCGGTAGAGGTGCGAGGTTTTTCAACACTATTTTTATTGGAATTGTTTATACATTGACGATAATTATATTTTGAAATGATATTGAATCTGAATTGACCATTTTTTTTTTTTTTTTTTGTGTGTGTAAATAATTTGATCAGCTGTTGGTTTATTTGCTGTTCCAATAACTATTAAGATCTTTCAATGATTGCGTGTTGATTGGGCGTCAATAGTGACTGTAAAATATAGTGCACGTGTTCTAATGCTTCCGCATTATGGGCGTCAATAGTGACTGTAAAATATAGTGCACGTGTTCTAATGCTTCCGCATTATGTGGAAATGTTGATTTTTTGCCTATTTTGAAATGTATGACAGCATTTAAGAATTCCTCGATGATGGATATAGTCATAAGGTTAATGGCAAAGTGTTGGTAATTCAAACTTCGTTAGTCAGGCTGCTAGTTATCATGATGGTATTATATCATATGCTCAAATTCTGCTATTTGAACTGAGTTAATTTGCTTTTGCAGTTGCAATTAATTATGCTTGTTGTCAACTTGTCATATGCACCTTTGTCAAATTGGTTTGCATTTGTAACAAATTACACTGCAGTGGACACAGGACATAGGATGCACCGCAGATTGTCAAACTGTAAAATGTTCAAATTCATGTCATTTTACTAATTACGTTGATTATGGCTGATAAGGGGAAGGTATCCTGTCTGATCATTTCCTTTCCTTTCCTTTCGTGTCCCAAGTAAGTTGACAGAATGTGAGTGGTAAGAAATCACATATCCATTTTGGAAATATCAAAGGGTTGAGAGTAGCAGGTAGCTCAAGAGTGTCTTTGAATGCAACACTTCAAGTTTGGGTTGGGGGCAGTTCAAGATTGTCTCAACAGTCCTATATTGATGAGACAATGACATATATGAGCCACCAAATACAGAGGCACACAACACAACTTGTCTTTATGACTGGTCATTTCCTCAAGAGAATATCATTATTGCTCCAATAAATGAGAATCAACTAGTCTTTATCACAAGGAATACCACTTTCCATTATGTTATACAGCCATAGTTGTCAAATCGAGATTCAAATTGTGAATAGAAATGGTTTTGTACCGAATTGTAAAGGTTCGGTTGCTTTTTTTAAATTACATAGAAAAATATATCTTCAAACTTAGATATTAAATATATCTAATAAATATGAATTATTTAAACTTAAATAAATGAAAATGTTGTTTTGAATGATGATCACTTGATCTTGGTAAGAAGTTAATACAGGCTTCCATGTACACCACTTTCCCTTTTCCCTTTTATAGATGTACTATTTCTTATCAATCATTCTTAATATAGAAAGCAAACAAAGACAATTTTAATTTTCAAGTAACAATAATTCATTTTTAACTTTTTACAAGTGTAAGAAACCAAAATCTTCAAAAATTTTCAAAAATCTCACTTGATGCAATTGAATATGTAAACACTTAGATAAAATTGAATATGTAAGTTTAAAATATTATAAAAAGAGAAAGTTCATCCCCCTTCCCCTTCCCCTTAATATGCAATTGAACATGGCATATAGTAATTCTAAAGACCTAAAAAGGTTGTGTGAACCTTTTTCCAATAATAAAAAACTAAAAAAGAATGTCAAATATCAATTTTAATGAATCGATTCATGATTTCACCAATTTGGTTCAACAAGTCGCCGATTCATCTATGATTCACAGCTACGTGTGATTTACACAACCTATTTGCATCGATTACCCACTGAATCGAATCGTATAATTCAAATAAGAAAACCTCATTTTTTATCCACACATCAAACACTTTACATAGACCAGCATATACTATAAGTAAATATATGAACCAAAACTTGTGGGACAACCTTAGTAGTTGAGTAGTTGGCAGGGACTAAAGATCAAAGCTTGCGCTTCCTGGTTTAAATATGATCCATAAACAATATGAGAGATTTCTTAGTCTTCTACATTTCATAAATTTAATCTTTCTACACTTATATACACATTTCTTTTTGGAAGGAATTTTTTTCCTATTCAATGTTGAGCTGTCAATGTAGGTAGGATGAGGCACTTTTTAATGGAAATGCACAACTCATGTATTAAGTTTAGAGCATTTTATGGCCATCCACCAAATGATTAGATCATGATTTTTTCCCCTTGGAACCTTTATCAGTTGATTCCAAGCAGAGTTTTTTAGTAAGAAATATTGAACTACTAAGACTAACAACGGTTGCATGGATAATTTGCACTCAAGAAACATCAACAAGTGTTTGGGGGGAAAATTTGCCCTCAAAATCTCTAACATGCTTATTGAGGCCAATTAGTAGCCCACTAAAACAAAATGAGCTTTAAGCTTTTAGCTAGTTCAGTACTTAGTTTATGTTGAATAATGATGACTTAATTTGTTGTACAATGTCTTCCTATAGTGAAACTATGTTTCTCATATATTGTTGCCTTGGAAGATCGTATTTTATTCAATCCAATGATATCAATTTTAAACTTGTTATATAATTGTCAAAAGGCTTAGCCCTATGTAGGTGACATTGTTGCATGTAATTGTCATACATGGTATGTGTTTACAATATTCAAATATTTGATCGTTGTAGATATTGACAACTTTTTCTTGATATAACAAGATGTCAACTTCAATGGGTCTAATGTATGCTAATCCCTTTGGATTCCATGTAGCAATCCTCTTTTTAAATCTCTACACTGCTCCATTCCACGCTGTCTTAGTGTAGACAACTTAAAAGGATGACCCAAGAGGCATTCTTTCTATGCATTTATAAAAGACAATCTTTTGCTTAATGACAATGGCTTGGTGTGGAATTTTTGGTTTTGGAGGGCTAAGAAGGATTGGAAAATTCAATCCTCAAAGGCTTTCACTATGGTATGCTTTATAAATTATGACATGAATCCAGTGTAGTGGTCAGGACTTAGTGTTTTGGAACTTCGGAGAATTCCCCGTTGGGGGTTACCTTGTGCGTAGAGAGGGATATGGAGAATTAGGGGTCTTCCTAAGTTTATATATATATATATATTTGCTGCTTGGACTGCAGTTTTGAGGCTATTTGACTATTGATAGTCTTAGGAAGAGATGTAATATGGCAGTTCAAATAATTTGAAGCTTCACTTTACCTTTCACTAGATTCAATGATTTAATAGAGTAGCTTCTGGGTAATCTGTGGATTCCAGGAAAGCGAAAGTGAAGAAGGCCTTGATGAAGTTGATGATGATAATGAGGAAGAACATGACCATGAACCTGAAGTGCCAGTCGAAAAAGAACCAGTTGTTAAGAAGCTTGCTGAAGTTTCTTTGGCTCCTAAAGATCCAGAAAGGCAGCTTTCAAAGAAGGAACTGAAGAAGAAGGAGCTTGCAGAACTTGATGCCGTGCTTGCTGAGCTAGGATATCCCAAGTCTGAGGCCAGTGGCCAAGATGATTCCCGTGGTAATATAATGATTTATTTTCATCCATAAGCATTCCATGTTTAGTCTCTCATTCTTTCCAGTATAATTGTGTCGATGCATGATTACATCCTCTTTAGATAACTGCTTGTGAAAAAAAAAAATCCTTAGATGACTATAGATTTTATTGCTTGCCTTGTTCAATGCCGAAGTTAGAAGCATAGTGACATACTTCTAATAGGAAAATGATCTCTATACAAAGGTTGTAAATACTGTACCAGTAATAATACCATTTTTATTACTGGTAACAGGTATAATTTCGGGTACCGTTTCAAATTTGTTGTTATAAATAGTTTATAAGATACATAATAATTAATAATTATGCATTACACGTAATTATTTTATAATACTAAGCAAGTGGTGTTGTTGGCATATTTGGAAAAACAAAAGTCATTAGAACCTACTATGTATTTTTTTCATGTTACACATAATTATTTTATAATCCTAAACATGTGGTGTTGTTGGCCATATTTGAAAAAACAAAAATGGAAATTGTTAGAAGATGAAACCTACTATGTATATTTTTCTTTAAATATGGAATCATATCAACTTGCAGTTGTCATATCATTATTACAACTGTCATCATTGCCGTTTTGGTGTATCACTTGTCTAAGCTTACACGAAATATATCACAAAAGTAAAACCGTCACCATTTCTCTCTCTCTCTCTCTCTCTCTCTCCGGCAAAGCCCACCGATGCAACAACTCTCTCCCTATCTCTGGTGAAACGCACTGAGGAACCAATTGCTTCTTCATTTTCACATCTGGCAGACAGTCGAGAGATGAAGATAAGAGTGAGCTGTTGAGCTTGCTGGAGATGAAGAGGGCATGACTTTGATGGTTAGGGGTTAGCACTTGACAAAAGGTTGGATGATTGTGCAACACTGGATAGGCTCGCTCTTGGAGATGTCCAAAAATCGGTACGTCACCGGAATAGTTGGTATGACCAGTAAATGCATGAAATTGTCCGGTGTATCCGAAATAATCCAGTATAGGCTGGAAAATTAACTTGCATGGAAGTGATAGTTGAAAGTATATATATTTCTTGTTGAATGAGACAGTGTTGTAAAAGGCGCGCCTAGGCACAAGGCGCAATGAAGCGCAAGCAGTGCACCTGAAGCGATCCAAGGCGAGGCACATTTAATGAGTTGTGTGCCTTGGTTACAACTTGGCCAGGCACTGAAAGGCGCGAGCCTAAGAGGGCTTTTTTTTTGTTATGATTTTGATCTAACGGCTCTGATCTGTGTTCGAAAGGCTCCAACCACATAGGATTACAACTCATACAATATAACTCAACCCAAATGAGTTGACTCAAATCCCTAATCTATCAAAGAAATCTGTGTCGTCTCTTCCTCTGGGCTCGTCTCTCTCGACTTCGATTGAGGTTAGGTCTTCTTCTTTTTCTTCGCTTGTTGCTGGTTGTTGGGTATTCGATTTGACTCTTTTTTCTTTTCTTTTTTTCTCTTCTCCTCCTCCTCCATCTTCCTTCCCCTTCTTCTCCGAGTTGCTATATATATATATATATATTTTTTATTCTTCTTCCCTGGTTGCTCTCTGTTTTTTTGGTTTTTTGTTTTTTTTACCGCTTCTTCGACTCTCTTTCTCTCTCTTCTTCTTCTTCTTTTTCTTCTTCTTCTTTGCTCTCTGTTTTTTTTCTTTTTCCTGTTTCTTCGATTTAGTTTCTTGCTCTCTGTTTTTTTTTTCCTACTGCTTCTTCTTTGTTCTCTGTTCTTCTTCTTCTTCTTTTTCTCTGTTACATGGAATAATGTAGAAATGACAATAACAGCAGTTTGCAAAAATGAGAATAGCAGCAATCTTCTTTTTCTTCTTCTTCTTCTTTGTATTTTTTTGGCTTCTCTTCCGTGCTTGTCTCTGTTTTTTTTTCTTGGCAATTTTATGTCTTTGTTTTGAGTCTCTGAAATTGTTTTTCATGACTTTGAGAATTATTCTATAATTTGCCTTGGTTAAATTATTATTATTATTATTATTATTATTATTATTATTATTATTATTATTTTTTAAATTATCTTAGTACTAGTGTGAATCATTAGTTTATGTTAATTTATCTATTTTTTACTAAGACTGTGCATCTTGCTTCAATAAAGCCCGCACCTCTTCTTGTGCATAGGCCCCAAGAGACCTTCAGCGCCTTGGTGCGACTTGAGCCTCTAAAAACACTGAAATGAGATATAGTGCAGTATGGAATGGGATTGACAGCCATGCTCTGTACTTATTAAAAGAAGCCAACAAAACCTTCTCCATAATGTTTATTCATTGCATTTTAGGGTTGCAAGTGTTAAAATCTAATTCATGAAATAATGTGTATGTCTATTTGTTAGGAATTGCAGAACTGTAACACAGGATCTGGTCGATTAGAAATTGCAAAAAGATAAAGGAATCAAAGAACAATTGCATAAGAACACAAGATTTATGTGGTTCACCCATAACTAGGGGCTACGTCTATGGCAGTCGTTGCAGCTGTTTTACTAAAAACGAGTTGCAAGATACAACGGAGTTGTCCTATTGCTATAATATATATAGCTAGGGATATAGGTTGCAACTCTCAGAAAAATACCAAAGTGTACCCCTTCCCACAAATTGGATCTGCAAGACATGTGGCTCGGTGTACAGTATCAGGCTCTCCACACTGCCTAACATTTGTTTCATTATTATTCTAATTATTTTCTTTTCTCGCAAATTACTTGTTTTCAGCATGTCTACTCTGCAATATCTGTTCTTGCTTTTGGGTTCAATGTAGAGCTTAAACTACAAATTTGCATGTGTTACCGAATTTTCCTTTCAGAAATCAACACGAGAAAGGATCATCTGCCCTCATTAGTTTGAACTGGGATTTTCTTCATCATCTTTATACAGACCATTTATGCATATATTTGGCCTATGGTTTGGATTAGCAGTATGTGATTAATCTTCCTTGTGTCTTTTCAATTGCTTTCAAGTTTTCTTCCATGAAAAGTGATGGCCCTCTAACCAGCACCTGCAGGTGATGCACAAGAGAAGAAGCTAGAGAATCTGAATGGAGAAGCGGAGAAGAAAGAGAATGCTCCTGGGGAGAGCAAAAGCGCAAAAAAGAAGAAAAAGAAGGACAAGTCTTTGAAGGAAGCTAAAGAACAGCAAGATCAGCCCAATGGCGCTGATGCCACAAATGGAGCCGATGAATCTGCTGGAACTGACAAGGCCGCAGAAGATACATCTGTTGTTGACGTGAAAGAGAAGATGAAGAAAGTGGCGTCCATGAAAAAGAAAAAATCGAGCAAGGAGATGGATGCTGCAGCAAGAGCGGCCGCGAGCGAGGCTGCCGCAAGGAATGCGAAGCTCGCTGCTGCAAAGAAAAAGGAGAAGAACCACTACAATCAGCAGCCGGTGCGGTAAGGATGTTTCTTATGAGAATATGTACACCCTGTTTCATCATTTGTGTCATGCGAAATAAACATCAGAATCCGGGTTCATTGAGGTATGACCTTCAACATAGTACTTTTTTGGTTTTTCTTGATCCGAACAAGAAAAAAAAAAAAAAAAACTGTGGGTTGAAAAGATTAGGGTTTTTTTAGATTTTTTTCTATATTTTTCCTCCTCTTTCTTTCTGTATCTGTTGGACAGTTTTGCTGATGTAGTAGAATGTTTTTGTGGATGTTACTCAAGTTGGTCTCTTTTTTGGGTCCTTTAATTGCTTTATGAAATTGCATGTTGCTTCTTATATCTGTGGTGCTCTGTTTTTTGCGTGCGCATACTAGGATCAAATCACCAAATGTGAAAGTGTTGTGCTTTTTTAACCTACACTTGGGTTTTAGGTGGTTAATTTTTTTTAAATGAATTAATAATTGACATGCAGCAATCCCCGTTATTAGGGATAAATTTAGGAGTGATGTTTTAAGGGTTTTAAGCATTTTCATATTTGATGCTTTTTACATTGTCCCAAAATGCTCAGGAGGTGCATGACAATTTTTCCTATGCTTTTGTGTTAGTGTGTGAAAGAATGATTTACAAATAGAAAATGTATACAAAAATACACACAATGATTTGTCTGACTTGTGAGCGGATCACTTTAAAACGAAAACCATTGAAATGCATCTTAATATCAAAATTGCATTGATGTCATTTTGATGAATGATTGTGTATGGAAATTCAGAAACAAATAGCATTTCCTGAATCCTTGAGGATGGTTGAATAGCATGTCAAGGAAAACATATTATGGCAAGGGTTTTTATTTTTTATTTTTTGGGGGTAGAATTTTGAAGTAAAATGGGTTGGAATATTGTTGGGAAATGATTTCCGTGGGTCCTAAAATACCCTTTTTGTTTTGCCAAAGCTGATAAAGGAATGGTATGATAATATTAATACCCTTTTTGTTTTGCCAAAGCTGATAAAGGAATGGTATGATAATATTACGAGGCACTCATTCATTTAATTAATTTTTGCCATTTTCACAGGACGAGCTATTGTACACCACTAGATGGATTTTATTTTTTTATTTTATTTAATGTAGAAGACTTAATATTGAAAAAATAAAGTTGGAACCTATTTTCTTTTTTTCTTTTTGTTCTCTCTAGATAAGATAGGTTCTACATCTACGCATATATTTATTGTGTGAATTCACGTAAGAGAGATTAAAAAAAAAAAAAAAATTGATAATATTTATTCAGTTACAAATATTATTTTCTTTTCACAAAACTCGTGCAACAATATACAATGGTTCGGTATCGTTTTTGTTATTTTTGTTTTTCGTGTTTTTATAGTTATAAATCATGAAAGTTAGAAAATCTTCATCATTTGTATTTTTGTGTAAAATCAATTTTTGGAAATAACCTTTTCGTACTTCAACAAGAAAGTGTTATTTTTAGAAGAAACAAAAAGAAAAATAGAAAACAATTCCAAGCAAAAATTGTTAACTAGTGAAGGAGATGACTGATTCATTCCCTTTCAATCTTTATGGAAATAAAATATGCACTCACACACCTACACCGTGGGCCAAAGAGGTACTGTTAAACAAACCTCTTTCATGCATTCAACATGCCCTTGCTTCCTCCAAATGTAAGTAAAAAGTACTCAGATTCCATAGGAATATCTAAACAACTATGTTAGGTGCAAACCAAAAAAAAACAAAAAAAAAATTTCACAGAATGTAATACAAATATGATTTTCTTTATTCTCATTGATGCATTTTGTACATAGAAATTTCTATACGCGTAGTAGACTTTTTTATACCTAAAAAGGTACATCACAAACAAACCCAATCGAAAAGATCATGTCATGTCCATTAATGAAGAATATTGCAAAAATTTCTCCAACACTTGAAAACCCTTTGAACCCCTTCCTTTTGTGTAGCCCATTTTCTTTACATGTCTTCTTTTGAGAAAACTTAGGTTCAATATTCTACAAATGGAGGATACATTGCATGACCTCTCTCATCACCCCCACCCTCCTTCTCCATGGCTCCTCCATCTGTTCAAGACCTCCATTTCTCTCACCTTGACATCCCTATAACCATAGACCGCATTTTTTCGGTCATGCCAGCCAGTTCGATTCCGGTCTCCACCAACCACAGCCTCTACCTTTCAAACATAGATGACATGATCGGTGCACGAGTTTTCACCCCAACTGTGTATTTCTATCGATCAAACAACTTTGGTTCTCCCCGAAAACCCATCATGGAAATACTACTTGATGCTCTTGCTAGTGTTTTAGTCCCTTACTATCCTTTCTCGGGCCGACTTAGAGAGACTCAAAATGGAAAGCTAGAGGTGTTCTTCGGACCAGACCAGGGGGTTCTCATGGTTCAAGCTCATTCAGAGATGGCTTTAGCCAACCTGGGTGACTTTACAGTGCCAAACCCTGCATGGTTACCATTGGTTTATAGGTTCCCTAATGAAGGACAATACCAAATCATTGACATGCCATTGTTAATAGCACAAGTGACTTATTTTAGCTGTGGTGGCTTCAGCCTTGGTTTGAGGACTTGCCATTGCCTCTCTGATGGGCTTGGTGCAATGCAATTCCTTAATGCATGGTCTTCCACTGCGAAAGCCGGAGTTTTGGTAACAAACCCTAATCCATGTTGGGACAGAGAGATTTTCCGACCACGCGAACCGCCTCTAGTTAAATACCCACATGTTGAGTTCATGAGAATCGAAGATGGTTCAGACCTAACAATGAAGCTCTGGCAAAACAAGCTGGTTCAGAAGTGTTATCGGATTAGCAGGGAATTTCAAGCTCGTTTAAAGAACTTGGCCAGAGCACACGATGATTCTACGTGCACTACTACCTTTGATGCCATGGCTGCTCATGTTTGGAGATCTTGGGTTAAAGCACTTGATGTCAAACCGTTGGACTGCAACCTTCGACTTACATTTTCTGTTAACGCTCGACAAAAGCTCAAAAACCCACCTTTGAAAAGCGGGTTTTATGGCAATGTCATGTGTGTGGCGTGTGCCACAAGCACGGTGTCTGAGCTTGTCAATGGGTGTCTTGCAGAGACAAGAAGGTTGGTTCATGACGCTCGGTTAGGCATCTCAGAGGAGTACTTGAGGTCTACAATAGATTATTTTGAGGTGGATAGGCCTAAGAGGTTAGAATTTGATGGGAAGTTGACAATCACACAATGGACTAGATTTTCCATATATGAATCAGCAGATTTTGGGTGGGGAAGACCGATTTATGCTGGTCCGATTGATCTGACACCAACCCCACAAGTTTGTGTTTTCTTGCCTGAAGGGGAGGGTGGTTCTGGTGGAACTATGTTGGTGTGCATTTGCTTGCCAGAGCAAGCTACAAGCACGTTTAGAAAGTTTTTGTGCCTCATGGATTTAGATGATCAAGTTGGACAATAGGTCAAGGTCAAGGAATGCAACAGTTGTATTTTCATTTCCTATTTTTTTTGTTTTGTTTATGAACTTTTTCAGCATATTTTTTTAGGAAATACCAAAAAATTATGAATCCAAAAACTATTTTTTTCATGAAAATAAAAACAATTAATGTTTTCGAACTTCTATTGTTTTTGTTTTTAAAAACATGAAAAACAAAACAAAGAAAGCAGAAGCGCAAATCATATCAAATATTAAGAGGTGTGGATAATGTTTTCTAACATAACAAATTAGGACAAGCATGCAATATGTGTTTGGAAGTGTGTGGTTTTGGTTTGTTCAATCATTCTTTTGATACCAATGTGTTCTTGTGAAATGTCTGTGGAGATCTTTATTTTCAAAGCCCAGTGCTAGCAGCAGTACACATGAATATGAGTCATATGATGATTGATGAACATTCTTCTTTTCTTCTTCTTTTTCTTTTTTTTTTTTTTTTTTTTTTTTTTTTCTTTTTTTTTTTTGATTCTATGCTAAAACAAAGTATATGTAGTAAAAGATAAAAAATATTATAGATGAGATAAATAGCGTGGAACTAACAAATGTGTTTGTGACATTAACATTCCTCATTGCCTTTGGTTATAAATGTGACAATTTTAATGAGTAAGTTTATGGCAATCATATTCATATCTACTTTGAAGGTTTTAATTTTAAAAGATTTGTGTTGCATTGAGGAGGTGTATACCACATTATACATATATTAAAAGTACCAGCATACCCTTTTTTGGGGGGGTCTTTAGTGATGTTGTAGTGTTGAGCATTCATTTTTTTCTTTTTATTTTTTTAATTTTTTTAGGGCTTTTATATTAAAGGGATTTGAATGTTGTTATATGAGTGTTCATTGAAAAAAATACCACTACACAAAAAGATTTGATTGGAAAAATATATCCTTTTGGTCTTTAGCGATATATTTTCAATGAACATTCAATTTTTTTTAAAAACCTTGTAGTCTAAAATTGCTGGAGTAGGGTCTTACACCATGAGTGCCCAAAAAAAAATTTAAAAAAAAAAGGATCTTAGAACACGCAAGTAGGCATGACGTTGATTATGCTCTGTAGACATTAGGACTAAGTTTGGCATATTGTAAAAAAGTTAAAAAGTTACTCAAAAAGTTAAAAAGTTAACACTATTCACTAAAAGTCAACAATTCCGACTGCACAACTCTCAATTCTAAGTTTCCCTTACAAATTAATTTTTACAATTTTTTATTACACATTTTTTCATAAAAAATTAAAAAATTAACCCAAACATTCATATTTTCTTCATTAATTTTTTAATCTAAAAAGACAAAAAATACAAACAACCTCTAGGTTTGCTTGGTAGTGCACTCAAACGAGCAAGCTCACTTGAAACATGCCCAAAGTATGCTCAAGTGGGCATATGAAACTTTGACTTTTAACTTTGACTTTTTTACACGCTTTATAAAAGATTAGTGTTATTTCATCTAATATATACAATGATATATATATATATATATATAATCTCGAGGAGTCCTATCCCTTCCAAAAAGTCATTCGATACTTGTTGTACAGAAAAGAAATAAATCTTCTCCTATAATCCTGTTAATCAAGTATGCGCTCCTCCGTATGACGCTACTTTACTCCCTGAAAACACAAGCGTGAGTTAGCCGGTGGGGGTGTGCCGAATACCTCTCCGATGCCTAAGTCAGCAAAATAGACTAATAGACAAAAAGCTCTGTATATTCGGGAATCAAAATTGTTTTACCTCTCATTAGGTGCTGTTATGAGCTTTTTTTTTTTATAACTCAGGTATCCCCAACCCTCCGATTTTTGGGAAAGCCAGGACTAATCCTGAGAGGTATTTAGCCAGTGGGAAGTCGGACACCCTTGCACAAACTGCTGTAAGCACTCACCCAGTGGGGAATCGAACCTGGGACGTGCGCAGATGTTATGAGCTTTTATAGGTTCCGTGTGGCACAATCCTAGTAGAACTCTTACTCCTCCATGTAGAGTCCTCCTAGGAATCACATTCTTGAAAGATAATGCTTATCCCTCAACACCCCCTCACTGCTTAAACCAAGTGAGATGGTTTTACCATGGTTGGATATCAATACGACCGAGATAACATGGCTACGCTAAAGCCGTAGACTAGACCGAGCTCCAACTAGCTCGGTTCTTCCTTTCACTGCACGTGTACCTCGGCTGACATTCCAACTGGGTTGTCCGAAGCTGTGCTATCCACAATGAGCTTGGACCGAGCTAACCAATAGCAAGCTTCTGAGGAAAGCTCAACATACTTCGGCCCAACATAGTATGACCGAGCTAACTGTTACCGCGCCAACCGTGGTGACCGAGCTAACCACCGAGCTAACTACCAAGCTCCTTCGGACCGGGCTAATTACAAGGCCCTTTTACTCAACCCTTCTTACCGTGACCCATAAAATGGCCCATTACCCAGCTCGGCCCAATTTATATATAAATTACCCTCTCAATTGCTCCTTAATTCCATCTTCTGCGCAGCATGATAGGGATTACTTGCTACCAGCCGAGCTAAGAAAATCTTCAGCCTTCCAACCGAGCTAAACCCATACCGTGCTATCAATCAGTCTGGTCAAAATGTCTTTTCAGCCGCTGTTACTGAATCGGTTTATATTCCCTGGACACGTGGCAAACTCCTATTGGTTTATCATAGTTGCCACGCCGCCCTCGTACCTCATGAATTTTGAACAGTCCCGCCTTTTTTCCTTCTATTTTTACAAAACAAATCCTTATACTACAAACCGTTTCACTTGCACTATTCATCTTCTCTTTTTCTTGCTCGAACCTCCATTGCTGCCACTCTTGCATCTGTGAAGCTTGCATTTTCAACATCTCCTTCACGGTTTCAGACCTACATCCTTCCTTCTTCAATCTGTAAGTAACTTAATCCCTTTTTGTTTTCCGTTTGAATAGTTTACATGTACTATATGTGCTTTCCCACAACACTTTTTTGAAAATAGTTTTTATCTGAAACACGTAAGAACAACTTGAATAATACCCATCACTACTGATTTTGCGAGAAAACTGAACTGTGACGTCTTAGATCTGAAATCATACTCCAACCGGACTAGGAAGTAGTTTGTAATAGGTGCGAGCCTTAGCAAAACTGAACAACCAAGCTAAGATTTCATGAACACTTGTTGTTTCAAGCAAGTCTAAGAACCTTTTGCTTTACTTAGCCGAGCTAGCGAATTAGATTAGGTTTGCACAATGCCGCACTAGAAAGCCTCAACCATTGACCGAGCTAAAACTTGGGGCTAAACCAGCTCCCTTAGTTCAAACCGAACTAAGATTGCTGCCCCAATGGCTCGACCGGGCTAAAGCCCTTTGCTTAAACCGAGCTAAGACCATGTAACCGAGCTAGGACTTCATTTATCTTGCCTATATTTCTTGTAGCACGGTCCCACGATCTGTGCTTAACACCGTTCTTTTTTACTTTGCAGACTCTGACTAGGTTGCCCAGTCACTCCTTTGCACGTCCAGCCGAGATATCCATTATCTGCTCGGCACCGAGCTAATACTCCAAGCTAACTTATACATAATTTAAACCCTTTATGGGGAAATATAAGTTTTTAGTGAACTCACCAGGTGCTATGGCCGAGTTCCGAAGGGACTACCATATCCCTGATGATGTTCATCTCACTTTAGCCGAACTAGGTACCATACCCTGGGGAAACCCTGGCTTTGTTCCTTTTACACTTCTTTCCATTGTAGAAACCGGACTAAGATTCCCTGTAAAACCCCTTTTATGTGAATTCCTCAGACAAACCAACCTCTGCTCTACCCAACTTTCCACAAATTCATACCGCATAATAAATGGCATCGCCAAACTAAATCGCCGGGCTGGCCTAAACCTCGGTTTAGCCGAGCTTTTCCACCAATACTTCATAGGATCAAATGAAGATGGCTGGGTTTACTATCTAAGAATAAGACGCCGACGTGAAAAGGTAATAAAAGATATCCCGGATAAGGATGTTAACGATGATGATTTCCTCTGGGTATCTAGGAATTTTGAAGACCAACAAGCCCAAATCCCAGGCGACAGAATAAACTAGAACAAGGGTGAAGCCGGTAGGATTACCTCGGCTCAATTCCATGCTTTCTTTTACCTTGGCTTTCTTATGTTGAACCGCACTGACTGTTTTGCTTTTCTTCATACAGATTTGAACTTCCTCAAGTCCCAGTATAACTACCCCAACTTAAACACACTTCGCGCCGCACTGCGATATCCTAATAGGAGTTGGGCCGAACTACTGGATTTTGAACCGACGTATAGACACAGTAGTAAGCGAAAGACCAGGGTGACTGACTTCTTGTTAGAAGCCTCTCCTGAACCGGACCCAATCTTGCCTCAAATCAACCTGATCTGACTAATAGCTGAACAAGAAATGGTTAAGAAAAGAGCCGTAAGAGCTCTTCTGACCGAGACAAACCAGCCCGAGGTACTCCCAGCTAGTCAAACACAAGAGACCGTGGTAGCCCTACCATCCCACCAGCCTTCATCGTCTCGGTCTCACAAGCGCGCTCGGTCTTCTCTACCCGAGCCACGCCTCGTTAATAAGGACGATACTGTGCTTCCCCCAACCGAAGTACCGAGCCCACAACTTGAGAGCCCAGACCGAGCTAATTCTTCTGATTGGGCACCGAAATTAACATTTCAGAACCGAGCCATCAGACCAATGGATTCAGTGGTGGCAGATAAAGATCATATGCTGGCCTTCAACCTGGCTAAGAGCGTGTGTCTGCCCCCTGATATGGATCACCACGCCCACTTGACTGAGCTAAAAGCTATCCGCCCGGCCACCAAATCAATGGTGCTGGTGAGTACTCTTTCCTTTGTTTTTCTATTTTGTGCAACTGTTAGCTCGGTTCTTACTCCGATTTGCTTACCATGTTTATGCAGGCCATGCAGAAGAACCAGATTGCTCATAAGCTTGTGCTAGAGCTACACAAAACAACAAGGCAAGCCTTGGCAGAGGTTGAAAAAAAGACAGCCGAGCTAAACGAGGCCAAACAACAAATGGCCGAGCTACAATCTGAGGTCGCCCGCCTCACCGGCCTAGTTGACTTAGCCGAGGTGGACAAACAAAAAGCTCTGACCGAGCTTAAGGATCGC